AATCTGTTGTACCCCAAAATTTTCCCTCCCATATTTCTTAAATACATGTCAAGCGAGGTCCTCAAATTGCTCAAGGTAGTCCAAGGGTTGACCAGACAAACCCTCTCCTAAGGCAGTCTACCTCAGATTAGGGTTTCAGTTTACATCAAGATGTTTAAGTACAAAGGGTCTCAAATGCTCACTATTGTCCTAAAATGTTCTCAATATCATCCATGTCAAGTTTCAAGCCTTGCAGAGAAAGTTTGCTCAGTCAATTGCTCAAAAGCCTGAAAATTAATTGTGCTAGGATCAAAGTCAATTGTGGCCCACATAGAGTCAAACTTCAATATTTTTAGTCAACATCCTCATTTTGAAGTATTATTCATCATTGGATCAAGGGTTGATCATGATTCCCCAAGGATTGCTCACAATTCATCAAAACCCAAAAGTTTCCAAATTAGGGTTTTATAAGAAAAGTCAACTCAACTTTGACCAAACATAACTTTCTCATACTTTATGAGAAATGACCCATCTAAATCTCATTTTGAAGAGGATGCAATTCCCTATAATCCATCTTCAGATCCCAAGTTCAAAATAATTCACTCACAAGAAGATATAAATTTGGACATTATAGGTCATTTTGAAAAGTCAACAAAACACCTTTTTTGTCAAAGCTTCATACATGAACATGGAAGACTCAATTGAGATGAGACAAAAAGGGTTACTTAGAGGAAATCTTGAGCTTTCTAAAAAGTCCAAGAACACATATCTAAGATCAAAATTTAGGAAGTTATGCATTGGTGAAGTTGACCTTGTTTGCAAAATTGCCAAAAGTCAAATATGTCTAAAATTGCAATTTTTGTCAAATGGGCCCAACTTTTTGTGCTTGCATTGAGTTGACAACATGATCCAAGACCCATGATCCATTCCACTTGCCTTTATTTTATTTTTTCCATTTATTTTGATTTTTACTTCAATTAAATCAAAATAAAATCATGAAAATATCAAAACTAATCAAAGCTTGAGATTTTATGCATATTTCAGGTCCATGAATAGCTGGCAATGAGATCAAATCGTGCAAGGCATGTTTGTACACAAAAAGATTGAGTTTCTCTTGTTTTGGAAAGATTTGATACAAGTGTGAATCAATGATCAAATCTTCATAATTGCAAGGATTTGGTGCAAACTTGTAACCCTAATTCACTCAAGAGTACATATAGAACAAATCCAGACCAAAAGCACAAGGGTTGGAGGCGTGAGAGAGCATAATCAGATTCAAAAAAATCATTAAAAAATGTGAAATGATTCTTGCAGTTAGAGGGAAATTCAGGCCATTCCAAGACTAGCATTCGCATCCTAGACCTTCTCTGAAGCAGATACGATCATTTGCAAGCATCCCTACGGCCAGAAACTCGAACAATAGACCCACGGTTTTCCCTTCAAACTCAAAATTCATTCTCACAATTTACGCAGCATTAGCATGTTTCAATGACATATATGTGTTTGTTAATGTATTTGCAATGTTTTGGTTATACTCAATTGAATTTTTGACGCACGTACTGAGATCCACCATTGCTAGGGTTTTCTTGCTCGTTTTAGGGTTTTCTCGTGCATGTAAAATTGGCCCAAAAGAGGGGTACCATGGTGCTCACAAGGCCAAGACGAACTGATCCGTACCATTAGTTTTCGTTTATGATGCTTGTATAAGATTTTGGAGAAACGCAGGCTTATACCTACGCCCAGAAAACCGTAGGTAAAAGTCTTGGACTTTTGCCAATGGAGAGAGGAAGAAGAAGGGTGGCGTGGCACCCCCTGGCTGGTTCATTCAAAATTCTAGCGTTTTTTATGAGTTAATCTGCTTTTCCAATATAATATTTTCTTGCTTTTCTTTGTACAACAAAACATGCCATCTCAGTTGGTTAAGAGGCGTTGGAATTTGCTAAAGGGCTTGGGATCGATCCCCAAGTCCCCTATATTATTTCATAATTTTACTTCTTGCATGATCTGGCACATGTACGGGCCCAAAGACTACCATACTCCATCATTCTTCAACCATCAGATCGCCCATGCGCTAGATCCAAGGGTTCATAATGGAGGTCTACCATGAACCTCAGTCAAGCCAGCATACATCATTTAGGAAAGTCAACATGGGCCAAGGACTATTGGGCTTAGAATTCATATTCAAACCCCCTTTCTTGCCACTAACACCAGGCCTATATTCTTATTCTTTTTCTTTTATATTTTTCTTTTAATTATTTTGATTAATCATTTCTCACACAAAATTTAATTCTTTTTTTTACAAAAACTCATAAAATCAATTTTCATCAAATTAGAATTTAGGTTTTTTTTATTTATTTTGTCAAAATTAATTTAATAATTAGTTTAATTTAATTCTAGGGCAATTTTAACCTTTTGTAAATAATTTAAAATAAATTAGAAAATTAAGGTTAGTTGATTTAATTTTTGTTTTCCTTTCTTAAAGTAACCAAAAATATAAAAATAGGTCAAAATTAATTATTTTTCTTGATTTAAATTAATTAGTTATTAGGTTGGTATTTATTTAATTAAAACCTTACTTTTCCCCAAAATAATCAAAAACAACAAAAAAATGATTTTTCTTTTAATTAGGTTTAGATGGGGTCAAAACCCTAATTTTTTCTCGTTCTCGTTTCGTCGCGCACGTTTATTTATTTTTACAATATTAATGTACACTATGCCAAACAAGGGATTAGACAACGCTTTTTTAGGCCTTTAACAGTGCTTAAAAGCGCTGCTAAAACCTCCGCTGCTAAAGGTATAGACAGCGCTTTTTTTTCAATCACTTTAGACAGCGCTTGGTAAAAGCGTTGTCTATTACCCCCCTTTAGCAGCGCTTTTCCTCTTTTTTTTTTTAAATTTTTTTTCAATCACTTTAGACAGCGCTTTTCATGAAAAGCGCTGTCTATTACCCCCCCTTTAGCAGCGCTTTTCCTCATTTTTAAAATTTTTTTTTTCAATCACTTTAGACAGCGCTTTCATGAAAAGTGCTGTCTATTACCCCCCCCCCCCCCCCTTTAGCAGCGCTTTTCCTTATTTTTTTTAAAAATTTAAGTTCAATTGCTATTCAACATTATTCATCATCATTCAAGTTCGAATTGTGAAGCTAAATTTCAAATACATTCATCATCAAAGTCCACAATATTCATCATCATTCTTTCAATGATACTTCAAGATCAAAGAAAGGAGTATGCAATTTGGAGAAGAAAGTTGGCTTGAATACTTGGAGTTTTTTACCATTAATTACAAAGTGTACAAAATGCAAGGACGCTCCAAATTCAAAGGCACCAATACATCAACGCAAGAAAAGTCATCCTTTACAAATTTCAAGGAAAATTATACAAAGATTTGGTTCTAGACCTAATTCTAAAAAAGTCTCTTCAAGTTTGCTTCAAGACCAAGCCTTTGGTCTCGATAACTTCATCCTTTATTCCCAGGCTTCTTCATCTTCAAATTATCATCTTCAAGGCCAAGTATCAAAAACATCGTGATCTTTTAGTATGCAACTTTTATGCCACATCCAAATCCATTCATACCCTCCTTCAAGTTCTTTTCTTTTAGAAAGATGTGTATCTACCCATTGCTCTAGCCACTACCTCCATCTTCCGTTCACTTTACTTCTTTCTGACTCTGCTGACCTCTGAGGGATTTGTGTAAATTAGTTCAACTTGAGAAACTGGTTGGAAAAAGTAATGAAACAGTTTATGACATGAAAGAGTTAGGAGCTTACTCTATGATTAAATGTGTATTCTTTTATTCTTTCTCTCTTAATAATGCCTTCTTTCTTGATCATGCAACAGGAATCTACCTCTTCCTTCAATAAAGTGTTGTCATCCCACTTTCTTTTGCTGTTTGAGCCCATCTAAAAATTTGAAAACTCATGTTTAAAATCATACAAATTTATGTTTGGAATGTGAATTGAGGTAATGAAATAATGTAACATGACATGCTTTGCTCACCCTAATGATCTTGTCTTTAGAATAAAGAGTCTCTTTATCTTCAACAGAATCCCATCTTCCTTCAACCATTTGGAGTCTCCTTGCACATATCTTTGATTGAATACTTACAATGGACTGCAAGCTCTTGAGAGTACTCATAGCTTGGCGTCTCACTGCTCGCCCACGAATAATCTCTTGAAGTTTTACTATTCCTTTCAATGCCCTCAAAGCCTTCTTTGCCTGTAATGAACATGACAATACTATCACTTGTCCTTGATTTCTTCTACATATTAATTGCCATTACATCTTAGTCTTACAGTTTTCTCTATTTGTTTAACTAGAGTTGAATTTGAGAAATCACTAGATCCTTAAGGGGTTTTTGATGTCTGAGTATTGGTATGGAGGACGCATTAGCCACATTTGATGGTTACTTGCAACCTTGATATATAACCTTCTTCTAATAAGATTCATATTTCAATTACTTGTATTGATTTTAAAAGACTATTCCAGATCCAAAAACTTTAGCAGTAAAGATTAAGTAACAAGACAGATTGGAGAAACTCACAAGGTAGCCCCTAAAAGCAGTTTGAATTTTGATGGATGCAAATTCTTGAATCTCTCTCTGGCACAGATATATTGATCGAGGAACACCATTCCTAGTTTCAACAGGTTCAGATTCTTCTGAGCCATCTTGATCTTTTTGATAACCAGATTGTGAAACTTCATTAAGCATAACAACTTGAGAATGCTTGGTTTTTCCCTCCTCCTCAGCTTCATTTGATGTTGTTGCTGGAGCTGTAATTCAAGGTAACTTCTTGGTTTTTAGCTTTCCAAATATCCATTTCCTTCTTTTCTCTTTCCGAAATCAAGTTTCTTCTTTCTCATTAGAATAAACAGAATCTTACAACAAAAAAAAAGAATTTAGTTTTAAAAAAGTAAAATTACCTTCTCTTGTGTGGAATGTGTGTCCCATATGAAAAGGCTCTTCACCAGATTAAACCAGCTCTTGTTCTTCTTGGCCATTTAACAATATCAAAAGACTCAACTTCAATATCTGTGATCTGAAACAATAAACCATAACATAAGCTTTCAATAATTTATTTAAGTAATGTGAACGCACAACTCAAAATTAGACTTTGCCAAAAAAGATTCAACAATTTTCTGAACTTGTCATAAAAATTTATTCTTAGTTTGAATAACTAGTCAAAGCAAATGCCAAAAATAATTACATGACTCTCAAGTTGAATAAAAATAATAATAATATGCAGATTCAGATTGAGATTCAAGCTAATCACTTACTCATTTGCTTAGAAGTTAGTAACAAAAAGACAAGATGCACCGTTTTGCAAGAGGTTGTTGCATGGGAACAAAGGGAACTACAGTCATTAAATTCAGATTGAATAGCCTTGAAACCATCAAACATTCTTAATAATACTTCCAGTTACCAAAATCATGAATGTAGATAGATTTCATCACTAGAAAAAAGTGCACACTCACATACTCTGATCTCTTCATTCATCAAAGAAAAATAGATATGGATATACAGCCAGAAAGAATACAATTGTTTTTATATATTTGTTTATTAGGAATGGGTCCTCTATATTTATCCTTTCTATAGTTTTGGGGTGTATGGGGGAAATTTCAAGCTCGTCTAATATCACATTATCATGCTTTATTCAATAATCCCAATAACATAGTAATGGAGAAAATTGATAGAATGAGAAATGCAGAAGATCCATTCCTTTATTTACTGGGGATATACAGTACACACTAAAAAAGTCCGTTATGAAGCCTTGACTTCAAAATAGAACGTAATACTTTTCTAATTTACCATGTGATCTCTAGGATTCAGACGCCTTTGCAATTCCAACTCATCAAACTCAAAGATAGGCAGCATCTCCACTGCATTGATACCAAGCTCTAGAAGATGTGGGATCTTATATGCAAGCAACAAAATGAGTTTAAATAAAGACATAAAATAAATAGTAAGCACCAATCATATAGTAATTAATAAACAGCACAAATATAGTTCCTAAAGTTGGAGGTGGCATGCAACCACTAAACATCGATACACCTTATTAAGTTGAATACCCAATGATAGCAAAGATGTTACCTTCTCAATCACACCAAGATAGCTTCCAAGAATGTTGTTATCCAATCCACTAGATTCATCCATTATAAATGCACAGACATTCATCTCATATATAACAAGATCTTTCTGCATTTGCAGCAAGAGCATAATGAATCCATAAATTGGACTTACTTCATCTAGAAACATACAATACGCAGTCATATTCTCATCAACTAAAAAGGAAAAGAAACACTAGAGATCAACATCAAGGTAGAATACAAAATCTACATATAGTTTTAAGCATAAAGCAATTTAGATGAAGCCTTGGTTTAGAGAAAAGATTTTATGAATATCATTTTCGAACAACTATCATTTATGCAGGCTGAATACCTCGGCAATATTTGGAAGCCTATAATTCTCTCCCCAGTCAAAAGGCAAGCTGTCAAACTCATATGTGCCCAGAAACTTAGACAACTTCTTGCTAATATCCCCAAAATATCTATGACCTTCAACTAGTTTTGCATAAGGATCAACAAGCACAATGCTTCTGTCAAACCGATGCCCCTTACCCCAGTCTTGAGATCCATCTATTCGATACCCGTACAAAACATTGCTCCCAGGAAGATCCTGCACAATGAGAGGTGAAAACAATATATTAACTAAATGTCTAAATGTGCATTTTGAATAGCTGTTCAGTGTTTGAATTAGAGAGAACCTGAGAATTCATTTTATTGATTGATGACCAAACGAATTCTTGTTACATGTGATGAGCCTCGGATCTATATTTATAGACCGGGCTAACACTAATAAACAAATACAGTCAGCATGCAACAGTTGTCACTGCTGTAACTAACTGAATTAACTAGGGGAGAAATGATCATATACAAGCGAGCCGTACACTCACATTTGGGAGGAGAGGAGTTTAGGGAGCTTTGTAACAGAAATATGCACTAACTCTGCATAATCGGAGCAATATTGAACTTGCATAAAATGGAAGAAATGAAAATATGGAGCCAACGGTTCTTTTTCACAGTTCTTTTTCATTTAACCAAACGGAATAAAAACCAAAGGCAAGGAGGTAGAAAGCAACTTCTACCTGGTCAATCATGGGCATTAGTCCAATAGCACGAGCACGGAGGAAGGTACCAGGTAGCACAAGTTCCTGCTCAGAACATAGTTTTTCGATTTTTGATTCAGTTAAAATTTTGATTAAAAGTGTAGACACATAATTCTGCTAAATATCACAGATAACAAATTTTAAGTTTTGCTACCTGCATCAGAACCAGAACATCCATAGGATCACTGTCTTCACAAAGGGTTCGTGGGATGAAACCGTAGTTGTGTGGGTAGACAACTGATGAGTAAAGAACACGATCAACCTAGGGTATTTAGCTCATGTGTTAGCCATGCTTCAAATACAGATAAAAGACTCAACTATTGCATTTATTATCTATGCATAACCAAACAGAAAATTATTCAAATTAAATCCTTCAGCACAATAACATGCAATGATAATCTATCGTCAAATAATCAAGGATGCTACAGTTAAAAGCATTCAATACTAACAACACACCTTTATAAGTCCACTTTTCTTGTCCAGCTCATACTTAACCTTACCGCCTTTGCCAATTTCAATCACCTGCCATGAAAATACATTTACTTCACTAACAAAACACGGATTGGAAACACGAGTTCAGCACAGCAAGTTATAAAACAGAAGAAAAAAAACTTACACAATTGAAAACTGCTGGAGCACCCGGTCTTGCAATTATATTATAAAACCATTTATGAGTTTTCACCAAAATGATCCTGCATCAATATCTATTTATCAATGTTAGATTTATCGAAACAACACAACAGTTTTGTACCTATCTCTACATCATGCCAAGGGTGAGCAGCAACAGTTCTCCTCGACATCGAAGAAAGTATTCGTTCATTGAGCTTAGGGTGAGACTTTGCCTCTTCATGGTTAGCCATATTATCTTCACAAACAATAAAAATCACATGGATTTACTGCAGTTAAAACAATAATCAGAAGAATCCACTTAATTTATTTTCTTTGAATGATTGATTAATCTGCTAGTATGATGCATATCATTTAATTAGCGGTAGAATTAGTAATATCAGAAACATAATTGAATTGGGAAATGATAATATAAAAAATAATCGATTTCGTTCAAGTGTGGGTAACAAAGCAGAACTAAATCGAAAGAATCAAAGAGGAAAAAAACCAGAATCGGTTAAAATGGAAAAGCGATAATTTCAATGATGAAAAGCATGAGTGAAGAAATGACTTATAGAAAGGGAGTGAATGAGAGTTTGGCGAATTGGGGGAGAAAAACAAAGACGGGTCAAAAAGTGTTTAAGTTAGCGGCGAAAGGTTGAATATGAGTCGTGTGATTTTAGTATCGGACGGTTGTGAATGGAGATGGGAGGGATTTGTAGGTATACCAAATACTCGGATATATCGGACAAATGGAGAAGAATGGAGAAGAATATGAATAGCCATATGGGTTTAATTTTGTGTTTCTGGAAATCTGATTTAGAGGTTAGGGGTTTAGAAATAAATTAACAAACCAAAGGCAGCGCTTTCAAGAAGCGCTGCTAAAGGTACCCCCCTTTAGCAGCGCTTTAGGCTTACCCCACCTTTAGCAGCGCTTTTAGATTTACACAAAGGCAGCGCTTTCAAGAAGCGCTGCTAAAGGTACCCCCCTTTAGCAGCGCTTTAGGTTTACCCCCCTTTAGCAGCGCTTTTAGACTTACACCTTTAGCAGCGCTTTTTGAAAGCGCTGTCTAAAGCATACCCTTTAGCATCGCTTTTATTAATTTTTTAATTTTTATTTTTTTTAAAACCCTATAGCAGCGCTTAGGGAGAAAAAACATTGCCTTTGATAAGGCCTATAGCAGCGCTTTTAATAAGCGCTGTCTAAAGTTTTTTTTTTTTGGATACCTACAGCAGCGCTTTTGCATAAGCGTTGTCTATGTAGCGGTGCCAAAACTCGTTTTTGGCGTAGTGGTAACTGCTCATGGGATGTAATAGTTTAATTAGGATTTTCCTTTCATTTATCGTTTTATGGGTTTTTGGCTATGTAATTAATCCCCCTCCCCGAAGCCTTGTAATAATGTAGTTTTATTTTCCTCATTTTAATTTTCGCAAATATTAACTGTTAGATGTATGATAATAGGATTGCATGACAAGAATGTATGTTAACTTTAAAATGGTTAGCAAACCCTAAATGTGTAAAGATAATAATTGAAAACAAATCACTCGCACATGCGCACTCCTAGGGTATACTCTCATTTCAGTTGCCTTCGGTAAACGATCATTAAGTATAGGGTACTTTAGTGGTTTCTCTCTTGTCTAAACAAAGATCAAAAGTCCCGTTCGGAAATGTTGCCTCGAATATGATCTTAAGACATTAGGGTTATTACTAAGACGTCCTAACGTTGCTTTAGTGATCGTACGTCCCTTTTTGAATTGACCCTTACAAATCCAACGATGGTTCTACCTACTCATTAATAGTGGGATAGCGTTGTCTAAAGGAAGCAAGAATAGAAACATTCTTTTTTCGAGTAGGTAGATGCTAGTAGGTACTTGCTCATAATAAACTTTTCACACCACACACTTTTCAAACAAAGTTTTCAAAAATACTTCGTAACACTCTTGAGGACTGATACAAGGGTTAAAACGAAGTAAAACAAAAAAATTTCAAAATAAACACACACAAGCAATTTTAAAATGATGAACAAGTACATAAGAGCCCGTGGAAAACCACAGATAGAAAGGGTGCTAACACCTTCCCTTTCAATAATCTACCCCCCGTACTCAGAAACATCTCGAAAAGGTTTTTTCTGCTCTTTTTCCTTTTCCTGATTGGATAAAATAAAAGTCGGTGGCGACTCTTGCTTACCGCGACATTTTGCAAACACAAACGCAAAACGCAAACCAGTATTAACAGTCAGTTCTGCCACCGTATCACAGTAGGGCTTATGGGAAAGAACCTGGATAGTAGGGTTACTTCGAGATGAAAGCCTGGATAGGAGGGCTTATGGGAAGGAACCTGGATAGTAGGGTTACTTCGAGATGAAAGCCTGGATAGTAGGGCTTATGGGAAAAAACTTGCATAGTAGGGTTACTTCGAGATGAAAGCTTGAATAGGAGGGCTTATGGGAAGGAACCTGGATAGTAGGGTTACTTCGAGATGAAAGTCTAGATAGTAGGGCTTATGGGAAGGAATCTGGATAGAAGGGTTACTTCGAGATGAAAGCCTGGATAGAAGGGCTTATGGGAAGGAACCTGAATAGTAGGGTTACTTCGTCTAATCACGTAGGTTAGTTGACAAGTTTGGTTTCGGGAACTGATTTTCCATTAGCTATCTGCAGATGTGACATGTATAACTTCATGGATTTAATCCTGAATTGTTGGAATTTTTGATGATAACCATCTTTCCTAAAAAGGTACAAGATTAATTGTATGCGATGCATGAACTGCATTGCGTGATGATGTTCTCAAAATAAATGATATTATGCTGTATGCAATATGTATGAATATGATATGCTCTTGCGGTAATTTTAGTCGGGGAAAATAAATCCCGGACTGCTGCTGGAGAGCATTAGGACGTTGAACCCTTCATTTTTGCTAGGGATGGTGGATCGGAGATTCCTATGTTGGGGATTTGTTCCTTGTTTACAGATATTCTGCCGGGGAGAGACTCTGCTTGAGAATAACTCTGCGGGGAATAACCCTGTTGGAAGGTGAACTTCCGTAGCTGAAGTAGTAAGCTCTGTTGGGGGGTGAGCCTCTGTGTTTAGAGAAAAAAATCTGCTTGGGAGACAAATTTATGAACCTCTCGTGACTATAAAATTTGGCTGGGGATAGTAACTCCTGTTTAGGGAAACTGATGTCAACGCTTTGATTACTTCTACTCTGTGGGAAGTGTAGATGTCATCGGGGCGCATGTAATGGTGATTTTGTTTCAAAGCTATCTCTTCCCATGTACCTGCTGAAGAGAGTAACTGTCGAGCTTGACATGATGATTTTTTAGTATTTACCCATGTTTCTACAGTTACGAGCAATTGCCTTTCCGTTTCCTATGCGAATATTTGTGAATAGAGATTATATTCAAATGCATATGTCAAGAATAAATCATTGGATGTTTTTGCGAAACAAAGTAGAAAAAGAAAAACAAATGATTTTGTAAAAATGACTTATATTAATTTCTGAAGTTGGCCTATAATAGGCATTTTTGTACAAGGAAGTTGGCACTCTAGTAAGAGAAAGCCGCCGTGAAAATGAAAGCTATACAGTATTGTGTACAAAGAGAAGAAAACAGCTATGTGTAATAATCCCATTGAGTTTCAATTCTGCTATTGTCGCTATGTCTTCGAGCGTCTCATCACTTTGCTGCTTGTCCGAAGCTGACTGGATTGACTGGTGTCGTTCGAGCTTGACAGTTTATACTGAGGTCTGGTTGCAAGGTGATCCAACGGGACATAGTGATACGCTTTATATCCCTAACTTTTTCATGGACCGCCCTTTCGGGTTTTCGGTCCACCGGGATACCCTTTTTTCCCAAGCCGCCTTTTCAAGTTTTCGACTTGCCGGGTGTACTGATTTTTTCGTTTTCATCCCTTATTTTTTCCCAAACCCTTTTGGTTTGTCGGGAATCCCTTATTTTTTCCTAGGCCAGTCAACCTAGCGGGTCTTTAATCATGCGTAGTATCTTTTCACTATGTCCGCATTGACAGGGTGCAGAAAGTCGTCACCATCCATGGTGGTTAGAATCATGGCTCCACCCAAGAAATTGTTTTTAATTACAAATGGCCCTTCATATGTGGTAGTCCATTTGCCCCTGGGATCACCATGCGGCAGTATGATGCGCTTGATCACTAGATCCCCGACTTGATATTCTTGGCGTCTGACTTTTTTGTTGAAAGCCTTTATCATCCGTTTTTCATACATTTGACCATGACAGATAGCAGTAAGTCTCTTCTCATCGATCATATTCAGTTGATCAAGTCGAGTCTGGATCCAGTCGTCTTTATTCAAATCTGCATCCTTTATAATCCTCAGAGAAGGTATCTGGACCTCAATAGGCAGGACAACCTCCATTCCATATACCAGAGAGTAGGGTGTTGCCGATGTCGATGTTCGCGCGGAGGTGCGATACCCATGAAGGGAAAATGGTAGCATCTCATGCCAGTCTTTGTATGTCACTATCATCTTCTGTATAATCTTCTTGATATTGTTATTAGCCGCTTCGACAGCATCATTCATCTTCGGCCGGTAGGGAGAAGAGTTATGATGTTGTATTCTGAATTGCTTACAGAGTTTGGTGATTATCATGTTATTGAGATTCGTACCATTGTCATTGATGATTCTCTCTAGCACACCGTAATGATAGATTAGGTTATGCTTGATAAACCACGCCACAACATTCTTGGTAACAGTAGCAAAGGAGGCAGCTTCAACCCACTTCGTGAAGTAATCAATGGCCACCAGGATGAAGCGATGCCCATTAGAAGCGGTAGGTCTAATCTCTCTAATCATGTCGATGCCCCACATTGCAAAGGGCCAAGGAGCCGTCATGACATTTAAGGGAACCAGAGGCACATGTACCTTATCACTATAGATCTGGCATTTATGACAAGTTCGGGAGTGTTGATAACAATCTGCTTCAATAGTGGACCAATAGTATCCTGCCCGTAGGATTTTCTTAGCCATGGTATGTCCACTAGAATGGGTTCCGAAGGTACCTTCGTGTAGATCCATCATGATCTTTTATGATTCGCTCTTATCTACACACCGCAGTAAGGTGGAGTCATGGTTGCGCTTGTAGAGTATTCCATTATTGAGGAAGAATTTCGCAGCGAACCTTCTCAGAAACTTTTTGTCGTTGACAGCTGCCCCCTCGGGATACTCTTGAGCCTCAAGATACCTTTGTACTTCATGAAACCAAGGTTTATCTGCTGCCTAT